GTTTCCTCCCTTTATGAACCTGCACTCACCGGTTGCGCTCATATTACTATGAACGCACTGCCTTCTGCTATGACTGCAATATTTTTCTCACACTTGCACAGAACAAGCTTCTACACAGGTATTATTCGTTAAGAAATACATATATTAAATATATATGAAAGATTGTGTATAAGGAATCAATTGTAGTTCTTTTTTTTTTAAGACAAGCTCCGAAAAACAAAAGAAATTCAAAAATTATTGATTTAGGTGTAGATAATTGTGATCGATGTATTTAACTGTATTATAATACTCCCTCCAATTTAAAGAAAGCAGCAATAACTTTTAAATCAATTTATCTGATCATGTTTACGCGTATAGTTGCACAGGACGATAACTTTACGCGTGGGTGTGCTACACATAAGTACAGACAAAGCAAAGTTTCCCTATCTATTTCAAGACCGATTTCAAATCTAAAAATGACCTTTTTTAAAACAAAAACATGCTTAAGTTAAAATCAATATGAAAACATTCTCTTTTTTCATAATAATGTTAATATGTCTCTCACAGAGGTTCAATACTTTGAACGTTGACATCAAAATTGTATCAAAATAAAAATTGACGAGAATTTAAGATGACGCTGTGTGTAGGCAGATAACAGGGATTAATAAGCAAATACCATGTTTATTGTACGCGATTTATTAGAAATAAGATGGATTAATCAGGATTGTGATTTTTACTGTCATCTTTTACTTTTTCCAATGAAGACAATAGCAAGCAGCCGTGCCCTTATCCAGGTCAGGATTTCTTCGGAAATCTTGACAACATCAAAGAATGCAAATATAAGTAATAAACAATTGTGTCAGTGAACAATTGTTTTGAAGTACATTAGCTTTGAAGACATATTTACTATGACTACTAACTGCAGAAATGTAGCTTTAAGGTTTTATATTTTAGTCTTTGGCTGTAACGTTACACATCTCGTAATGCAAATTTTCTGCGCACGGTTGGGGATGTATTTCTCCATTTTCCAGCATTGGTCAATCAACTACTTTTCATTTCCTAATTCTAGACATATTCTATGACCAACCTGTATATTTATCCTCCTCGTAACCTTTTATGGTAGTCTCTACAGACCAATAAACTCGCTTGTTTTGAATTTTCTGCCATCCGCAAAAAAATTAAACAAGCAAGTTTTTTGGTCTGTAGAGACGACTAAAAAGAGTTCAAAAAATCTCTTTGAAAGGTCCCTACATTATTCATAATCCCATACAAGTCAAAATTATTCGGAAAGATCTATAATGATACATATTATTCAAACTATTTTACGTAAAATAAGATTATATTTATTGCCATGATTACATCCAATACAATATGATAAAGATTAAAGTGATTAACCTAAGAGTAACAATTTAAGTGCAAAAAGGTCAAATTAATTGTACCGTTGCTCAGTAAAATGCACACTGACCCCCGATTTTCTTTGTCATTTTGAATCATGCTATATGAGTACTAATCTAAAATATACTTCTCAAAAAAACCTTGATATAACTAATTTCACGAGTGACATACCTTAAAGCAATTTCTTATGTAAAGAGTTCTCCAGTACGTAGTATAAAACCTTATAAAATAATAACGAAAATCAGAAGGACCTCCCAAAAAAATGAATTTCGTATTTGCGTTGCTTCATCTTAAATACATGTTCGTTGTTTCCAACAGAGGTGTGAAACAGTGTCGCGCTTACAGAGTGCATACTCTTGTAGTGACCTCTTGGGAGGGGGTGCTTATCATTGAATAGTTGAATTGAAAAAAAAAAAAAAAAAAAAAAAACAGTATGAGCAAGGTATTTATAAGTGGAATGAAGGTGAAAATAGAGCACTCAAGAGGATGTCAGCAGAGAAATAAATGGTAAAGAAGTTTCTAAGAGGTTTATTTAAAATTCATTCAATAACATAAATAAAGAGTAACATGTTTTGTTAAACATTTTTAAATAGTCGTTCTATGACCTGTTCAAGTACTCTAAACAAATGTAACATTTCCGGAGGCTTTCTTGGCTATATGACTGATCGACTACACATGCATTGGATTGGTAGGGAGGCCCATTTAGGACCCTTCAAAAAATATTTTTGAATTCGATATAACGAATTGTCTAATTTGTTAAAACGAATTTAATTCGTCATATCAATTTTTAATTCGCTATAACGAATTAAATCTGTTTTAACAAATTTGCTGAATTCGTCTATAAAATTGTTTAAATTTAACAGATAAAATTCGTTAAAACGAAATTTAAAATTTGTTATAACAAATTAAATTCGTTTAAACGAATTCTTGAATTTATTGTAACGAATTAAATTGGTATGAATGAATTCGACAATTCGTTATTATTGTACATGTACCATAGGCATTTATATTAATGTCAACATCGATAAAAAGAATTAAATTCATTATAATAGGTTTTAGAATTCATTATAACGAACTAAACAAATCTGTTACAACAAATTTCATAACGAATTTAAAACATTGTTAATACGAACTAAATTCTGATAATAAATTCGACAATTTTAATTTATAAATGTAAAATATATTTTTGTTGGATCCTAAATGGACTCCTGTAGATTGGAGAAGAATCTTTTCCAAACTATAACAAGAAATCGTGAATCGAGACTGACTTTTGACATATTTTGCAGAACTTAAAAAGAACGTAATACTATACTTTGTTTAGTACGACGTTCCATTTTATTATTACTCAATAATTAATTTTGAAAGAAATATATAGAGGATATTCAATGTTTTGTAGATGAATATGGAATTTATTTCACGAGTGGGACAGGATTTTTTGATATTTTCACGAGTGCGAAGCACGAGTGAAAATATAAAAAAATCCTGTCTCACGAGTGAAATAAATTTCATATTCATCTACAAAACATTGAATTTTCTGTTTATTACATTTTCTTTGATTTTCCCTTTGCCTCTGTCTTTTCTTAACACTGTCATAGGCTTGACGTCATAGTTGAGCGGTTGAGACGTCATAGCTTAGCGATGCAGTTATGTGATTGAAAAAATTAATGATTGAAAACATTACATAGCATGGATTTTAGCAACATATTTGGGAAGAAATTTGCAGTTTTAGCTCTATCAAGATGCTTAGTTAATATCTCTATCTTATGACAGGCCAGAGATTATTTTTTACTTACTTTGATTTCCTTTCACACTGTGAGAGAGTATCACTTTGGTATCCTTTCACACTGTGAGAGAATATCACTTTTATTCAATAAATAAATCACGGTATTTCACTGTTGAGAATGTAATAATAAATATATATATATATAATAATTTCAATCGTATTGAACACTTTGAGTGGAGAAACGTGGAACACAATACGGTATTAGCGAATTCATTAATAGAAAATTACAAAACAATTCGATATAAACAACAAGAATTATTCAAGGGTTTCATTTTTACTTTGCTAAAAATGAGCTTTACTGTATTTCAAAACATCTCATTGTCGTTCCTATTCAAAGGAGAAAGGCCGAAAACTGTCCATTCTGTGAGAGAAAGAACTAATCGAGGGCCGTAGGCCCGAGATTAGTTCTTTCTCTCACAGAATGGACAGTTTGAGGCCTTTCTCCTACTTAAAACATAATTTCCTTTGTTCTGAAAATTAAATAAAAAATGTACAAAATGACAGGTAGCACACATACATTGACAAGTTTATTGTTTACGGAATGGACAGCCACAGGTAAGCTAGGGATGCAGAGCAATTTGTTGAATAGCCATTGTGTTTCCAGATGCAAATAACAAAAGGTCTTTGTCTTAAGAATGGACAGTTACAGGTGGATTTTGTTCGATACTAGTATTTATACAAGTATGCGATGCTTCAATATCAGTTTACAGTTTGCGTTGCAAAGGCATTCATGTTTTCCTGTGATGGAGAGAGTATATGACAGAATCAAAATCTAATAAACCAAAATATGCACAAAATTAGTGATATTTGGATCTGGAAACAGAAAAGTAAGAGTAAAAGAAATATTAGCTAAATTTTGACCCAATAATGAACTTCGACGACAGATACAGATGATCAAATTTAAAACAAACCTGGAAATGTTTTATTTGAATTCTATTTTTGAGGATATATTAACTGCAGCAGTGAAATGGCGAGATGCAAATTGTGTTCTGGGTGTTGGATTAACAATGGGCCAATGTTCGATCTGAAATGTTTTTCAAATCAAATCTGGAAATGTTTTAGTTTTATGTATTTTCTACCGGAATATTAACTGCAGCGGTGTAGTGTTCATGGTGCAAACTGTTTTCTGGTGGAGGATTTAAGAGGGCTGGGTGGTCGTGGCCATTTTTAGACTATATTGATCTCCTTTAGAAGAAGAGCTCCATATAAAGATATACAAAAATGATCAAATTTTTAAACTAAAATGTATGATTTTTTTCTTTGCCAAATGATAGTTGACAGCTTAAGATATCATATCTAAAAAAAATAAGTTATATCTAATGGTTAATTTGTTGACCCCCAGCCTCCTTAATATTAGACGTACTTCTATCTGAAAATTAATTCTCCTCGAGGGAATGATTTTTCCGAAATTTAAATCAAATGTGAAATTGTGTCATTTGAATTCAAGTTTTGTGAAAATTAAGTTTTGGGTATTGAAATAATATGCATCATTCATGGATTTAAAAGAGTAAAATCGAGTGGATGCTGTGCAGACATTGTGTTCTGGATTAACTTCGATCTCTGCGTTCTTTTTGTTATTTACATGTAAATTAAAAAGTATTTAATGTATTTCTTTTTGTTTCCCTCTTGAACACCTGTAACTCTCCATTCTGTTAGTTTCAACTGTCCATTCTTTTTGAAAAAAAAAACTGTCCATTCTTAAAAGAATGGACAGTTTTCCAAAAAGAATGGACACTTACAGGTAACTTAATGGATTGTTAAAGGAGTTAGCTCAACATTAAGCTATAGAATGGACAACACAAACAAAAGGTTTCCGTCACAATCATGTTTTAATTGTTGTTAATATTGGATTTTTCCTCACGAGTCTTGTTAACTAATTAAAATCATTCAGTGTGTGATGCAATGTTTCATCTTTCAGAATAGAAAATAATTGTTTTAATTCCGCAAAAAATAGATATAATTATATAAACATTCTATACTTGTACATTGAAAGAGTCTTGGCCCCGGGATCATGACAAACTTTGACTTAGGTCGAAATTTCAGTCAGAGGTGTAAGACGTACTGAAATTTTTTATTTGCAGACAACAGGAGTTTGATGGTGCGATTATGAACAGCACTTTTTGTCTGACTTCTAAACCATTTCGGAGGAATTGAATTAAGCTCATGCGTCATTACCCCGGGGCCTGATCATGATTAACGAGCTACACAGAATACAAGGGGACGGAAAATCATATAAAAGAATAATAACGATAAGAAAAATGTTATGGCACCTCATTTGTTAGAATTTCAAAGGGCTATGTGTTTCCCACAAACTCAAAGGCTACTGTTGTTTTTCTTGTTTTGTTTCCAAAATATCGATTTATCTGACAAGAGCTTATACACGGACTTTTTGTCCCTTGAAGCACCATTTGGAATTTCCTTATGACAGAACAGTTTCCTGCAGTTCATTCGAAATGTCACACTTAACACGCAGTAAACAACGAAATTGGTGCCGGCATTTAAGGCAAGTAGCATGTCTGTAAATTCACGGATCCCGCGGACTCGATAATTGTCTTCCGTGTATCCATACCCGTAAAATGTCGACAAAATGGCATCTGGCGTTGTACATAATAAAAACTTCATGATAATGATAATAAGCATGAACGTCACCCTCTGTCGATGTATATATCGTGATCTATTCTTAGCACGAAGTTTTAAAAGCGCTTTGATGATGCAGGCATTAAGGATGATCAAAATGACAAGAGGTATGTTGCACCTGAGAAAATTTATACACCAGGAGTAGTAAACTGAAAACTGCTCATCCTGCCACAAGTCGGTTAAATTGAGCTGTAGCAAAGTCGTATTACTTGAGCCGTCGAAGACGGGGACTGCTTTGTATCGGAGAGCGTATGGCAATGAAACGCTCAGCATCACAGCATTGATAACCACAGTTCCTGCAATAGCACGTGGTCGTGTACACATAGTTCGAGATTTTGCGGGAAAACAAACGAGCAAAAATCGTTCTATTGCAACTGACACCGTTAGCCATGACGAGACTGAGTTAGCAATGTTGAAAACAAAATGAGCAAACGGGTACACATGAACGTAAATGTGATACGCCACTTCCGGGTTTGATTTCGATAAGACCATTACGGAGAAATATATTATGTCGTTTATCAGGCTAACCATGTCTGACACCGCAAGAGCACTCAGGAATGCGTTGGTAGAAGAAAGCATATTCGTCTGTGATAAAACCACTAGTGTGAGAATGTTTCCAAGTAAGCCTGGAATGCATATACACGGATAAAGAATCACCCCATTGATGAAGACGGCAAGTTCATAGAATTTTTTATCGGACTCGAGCTCCGACGAACTACCATTAGTATTGTTCAGTGGTTCCATCTCGTTACAGCGAGGGTTTCCTGTTCCTGAAAAAAGAAAAAATTTCATTAGATGAACAGATAATTCACCTTCTATGGATCAATTTATTACTTAGTGCTTCCTTTTTATATCCAATCAAACTACTCAGTTCGAAAGTTCTTTTTCTGGAGAAAATGATCTGATACTTTCTAGCTATGCATGTTTCTGGAATAGCGGTACTCCATGATAAAACGGCAAGGGTGGAAGCATCGGGCAACTTTAAAAACTTACATACCTGTATATTTGCATATCCCAAATATATATGTTTATTTTACGATTGAAATCGTAGACTCCTAGGCCTAATAGTTCACACCCACTGGGGGATCGTACCTTCCCACCCCAATAATTCTGTTAACATATACTATATAATTATATATACACACGTAACACACTCTCAAAACGTATATTTCAATGAAATGTTGCATTGTACTCATACAGATCTTAATAAAAATAGTTTTACCATATTACGGAAACTGTAGGGAATACAGGTACGTAGTTTCTTGAAAAATCTTATTACATTTCAAATCCTTGGGTGTACAGTTTTGAACTTCCAATGTATACATATTTACAAACTATCGATTTTGCAGAAATAAATGAACTTTAATTTTAGGTCACCTGAGTCACTAGGTTACCTATTGCTATCCGTTTTTGTCTCTTGTCGTCCGTCGTGCGTTAACAATTAACATTTGATCATTTTCAGCTTCTTCTCTGAAATCGCTAAACCAATTTTGTTATATAGCAGATATGGGTGAAGGGGGAAAAATTATGAATTTTATGGTCCCTGACCCCCGGGGCCCGAGGGATGGGGCTAAAACCACCAAAATTAATGCAATCTTTATAAATTTTCTTCTTTACTCTTGGACATCAAGCAGTGAAACTGATGGCATGTTTGTGATTATCATTGAGCCCTCTACCAAAATTGTGAAATTCGTGGCCTCAGGATCAGGGGTTCTGCTGCTAGGGTGGGGCTATATAGATCATACAGTGAAAGTGCATTATTTCTTTGAAAATCTTCTCTTCTCTTGGGTATTAAACAAACTAATTAAGTACATAGTTATGATAAGCAAGGTTGCTCTTCCAAAATGGTGAATTTCATGGCCACTGGGTAAAGGGTTCTGGTGTTACGGTGGGGCTCTAGTGATTACATAGTGAAAATGCTTTAATTCTATGAAAATCTCCTCCGCTGCTCCTGGGTTTTAAACCGATAAAATAAGTGCTTGGTTATGATAAAGAAGGGTTTATCTTTCAAAATTGTGAATTTCATGACCCCTGGGTCAGGGGTAAGGGTGGTGTTCTAATGTTTTATAGTGAAAATGCATTAATTCTTTAAAAAAAATTCTCTTCTTCTCCTGGGTATTAAGCCGATGAACTAAGTACATAGTTATGATGCGCATGGGTGCCTCTTCCAAAATTGTGAATTTCATGGCTCCTGGCTTTAATTATTATATAGTGAAAATGCATTAATTCTTTTTTTTTTATCTCTGCTCTTAGGTATTAAACCGAGGAACTAAGAACATAGTTATGATGCGTAAGGGTGCCTCTCTCAAAATTTGTTGATTGATTGATTGTATGTTGTTTTACGTCCCGTTCGAGAATTTTTCACTCATATAGAGAGGTCACCATATACCGGTGAAGGGCTTCAAATTTAGACCTATACTCGGCACTCAGGGCCATGGAGCAGTGAGGGTTTTTTAACGTGCCAACGCCTACCGTGACACAGGGCCTCGGTTTTTAAGGTCTCATCCGAAGGACCCGCAACTTTCACTTCAAGGTACCCAGAGCTTGGCGAAGGAACAGTTGCTACCTATTTTTTATCGACTTAGATAAGTCGCGGCGTGATTCGTACACACGACTTTCCCATCACGGAGCTCATAAAATTTTGAATTTCATGGCTCCTGGTCAGGGCTTCTCGTGTTAGGGCGGGGCTTTAAATTTTATATAGTGAAAATGCATTAATTCTTTGAAAATCTTATCCTCTGTCCCTGAGTAATAAGCAAACAAACTAAATCCAATAATATAAATGTAAATATAATTGTATGTAAAAGTGCCTTTTCTCTGCTCCTTGGTATCTATGAGGCAAACAGAGTACAAAATTGTAATAAGTGAAGCAAATGAGATTTATTCCCCTTTGCTAAATTATTAATCAATAAATTCTTGTGTATAATTTAATCAACAGGTTATTTGATTGAATGAGAATACAATAAAGAATGGTAAACGAGTATATATAGAAACAAAATAAAAATATTTGGTTTAAATGAGCAAGGCATGCTTGAAGTCAGATTCTTGCCTGTAAAGCAGTATTATTGATTGACATAAATATTATTGATGTAGCAAAAAGGCAAATGTACTGTGATGTCCTGTTTGACAATTGACGAATTATTGACAGGTAAAGTGATGGTTGGCAAGAGACAGTTCGCAATGTATAATTTTCGATTTGTATTATATAATGTTTATTTGTATTCTATAATTTTCCATTTGTATTCTATAATTTCTCATTTGTATTGTATAATTTTTCATTTGTATTGTAAAATTTTTATTTTATTGTATAATTTTTCATTTGTATTGTATAATTTTTATTTGTATTCTATAATATTTCATTTGTATTGTATAATTTTCCATTTGTATTCTATAATTTTCGATAAATTTTGTATTCTATAAATTTCCATTTGTATTGTATAACTTTACAATTCAAATGGAAAAGCATACAATACAAATTGAAAATTATATAATACAAATGAAAAATTATACAATGCAAGTGAAAAATTATATGATACAAATAAAAATTTTACAATGCAAATAAAAAAATTATAGAACACAAATGGAAAAATTTTACAATACAAATGGAAAATTATATATTAATACAAATGGAAAATATACAATGCAAATGGAAAAGATCGAATATTGCAACGTTTGACATGCCTTAGAAGTCAAATAACTTTAGTTAGTAAGCAAATATCTTTGTCAGTTTTGATAAGGTTTAAATTTATCGATTAATTTGATAACAGTAGTTAACACCGAATTTGGCGTCAGGTGTTGTTTACGGGATCGTAGGCTAGAAGTTTGGCTTAATACGGAACATCCAACCCACTACATTTTGGAAATCTACATTGAATTATAAAAAAAGTTTGAAGTTATAAGTTTTTAAGGACAATGATCTTCCCATTATTTTTTTTACTCGTCAATCGACAATCAGATAATTTAGTGACTTCTCATACATGTGTAATCGATGATTATTCTAATTGTTTGTCGGTTAAATTCGATTTTTACAGAAATACACTACCTATGCCCACTAGGTAAAATACCGTAATCAAATGAAATTCTGGAAAATTGAGGATACCATACTGGACAACATACTTGAAACAAACCGATAAAAAATGAAATCATTATTCATTTGATTTATCGATTTTAGAAAAACATGCATGTCCAAGAAAAGGGAAACGTACAAGTATATATAATATTTAGTTGCCTTTACTGTAGTGCATTGTATAAAACAATATACACTGTACATTATATTTTTTCCTCGCACTTTTTGTTCCATTCTTTAAGTGTTCCACCGTGTTTCCTTGATGATTTTCATTTCCTGACGATATGAATTACTTGACGCATTGAAACGCTACCCCTTAAGAAAGATACTTAAACCTTGATAGTAATTTCTGGTGATCATGTTGGAATCACGACAAATTGAAGATGCGTTTTACTTTTTAAAGGAATTTTACTTCTCTCGAAATGAACATTGATTTTTATCAGTAACGTATCTTTTCTACTTGATTCTTGAAAATACGTACATGTAATCATAGATATTATGTCAATAAAATTTTGTACCTTCAAAGTCTTTTATTATAATACTGGTTATATAATTGTTATCAAAAATTTACAGTAGGCTAGCACATGTGTCCGTTGTAGATGGCTGAAAGAAATTTACTTTGTTTATACCCCCACTTGAAAATCGGGGGGGGGGGGGGACATAGTGATGGAGCGTACATGTATGTCCGTATGTTACACTTCCGTATGTCCGTCCCTTACACTTTGTCATTATACTCAGAGAAGAGTATTGCTAGTATTTTGTGAGGTCAGTGCTCACTATTTTAAAGCTGCCATTCATTGGAGAGGAAAATATCTTTGGTTAGTCGATATATCGACGATTGATCTATTATTCGTTGACATCCTTACTTGCATTTAACTAAGAATTTTCCAAACTTCCATTTAAAATGCAACAAATCTATTGATTGTACGGAAATCAATGTTAGGAAGTTAAATGGACGTACATCTGTTCCACATTTCAAATGTGGATTTAAGTAAACATAGCTGTCTGCATTATATTTTTTGCAAGAAAAAAAAACCTCTCACTATATTTTCTATTCAACTAATCGTATACATGTATTTGATTTGCTTTGTTTAGTTCTAGCAGTGCTTGCGAATTTTATTTTAAAAACATCTATGAAAGAAGTATCGTAGTATAATGGTGATATGAAATTAACAACCCATTTAATATTATACCATACACATGAAAATGTAGTTCGCCAGACAATTATATATTATTTGATACAGACATTGCATATGACATAAATGTGATATAATCGAAACTAGTTTAAGCGGGCGAAACCATAATCAATTTTGCTACACTTAACACTTAAACAGCGACATTGTATTTTTTTGCAATCAAACTTTACATGAATAGGGTCTACTACATAAACAATGTTAATATATCTATACATAAACACGTAAAATGAATTTTTGGATCGTACTTGAATTGTAAATCATTTTTAGCTCAACTTTTCAATGAGGCAAAATATATTAGCAGCGCAAGATGAGAAACTCTTAATGAAAGTTCCAAACATTGGGTGGACGAATTGCGCCTATTGGGATATTAAAAGATGGATATATCAAGTACTAGTATCAACTTTACCTGGAAATTTCCATGTTAAAGATCCTTGTACACATGATATCAAGCACCAAGCTGATAGAGCAAAGTGCGATATTTTGATAGTAATTTGCATCATCCAGAAAATCTTGATAAATTCCAATAATTATTCTGACGTTTAATCCATTTTAAATGAGTAAGCACATCAATATTTCAGAGCTTTAAGATCACTCCCCTGTTAAGCATATTTAAGAATATTCAAGTTTTTCGTCGTTATTCTGCGAATGAGCAGATCGGCATTGTTGTCATTATCGCCCTGTTGAGGAGTTATATAGTATGTTTAACTATAATGATCGTTATCGATCGACTCATTTTAATCCTAATGCTAACAAATACCAAGGTTCCGTTGTGTGCAATTGAACCAATACAAAAAATATACAGGACATAGAAGAAAAAAAAATTGATAATGTACTCGTTTACTTTCTTCGCATTTAAATATCTGTGTATTTTCTTTCATGTAAGTGTATGTGTCTTATCAGCAAAATTTGAATATGAATTTTTATCTTGAAAGTATTTCATAGAAATAGTATCCAAAATTTTTCCCCATTCTCATAAATAACTTACTAATAAATGCATCTCTCATCTATAGTGATTATTTTATCTCCGAAAACATGTTAGAGATGCCCCAGAGAGCATTTGATGGCTTGAAGAGACGTCATAATGGTTATCTCACACCTCTTCATCATTGACGCCATTCTATAGAATCGTTTTACAAAAATAAGCATGCAACAGATACCTATATTTACTTAATAGTGGATATTATCGTTTGGATGCAGCTGCAACAATGTAGCCCTCCTCCTTTAAATAAATATTTATCAATTTGTGTGTATGTGTGTGTGGTTTGGTTTTTGTTTATTGGGAGAAAGTTACAACTTCTTATGATCTCTGTAATGGTGCAGACGCGGGCGTGTTTTACTCCCGCAAAAGATTTTGACTTAAATCATAAATACCTAAGGCCATTCCAAGATTTTTCTCTGTTTAGCGTCCACCCATCTTTCAAAAACCTACCTACCTATTCGCACCCCCCCCCCCCCACAAGTCAAAAAATAAAACACAGACTTTATAGTCATAAAAATGATGTCATTCAAAGGAATCAATTTCATTTATATATTTTTCTCGTAGAAAGATCTATTCTTTAGCAAAATCAAGGTATTAAATGCTTAAAATATACCTAATCTGAAATATTGTAGACAGATCGCTAGAGAAAATGACAGAATTCAAAGATTTCGACCAGAATAATCACTTTCATATGGAAGCCCATTTACGACCTATCAAAAATATTTTCGAATTCGATTTAACGAATTGTAGAATTTGTTATAACGAATTTAATCTGTTATAACAAATTTGTTGAAATCGTTATAACGAATTCCAAAATCTGTTATAACGAATTAAATCCGTTTAAACGAATTCTAAAATTTGTTATAACAAATATATTCGTTATAACGAATTAAAGAATTTGTTGTAACGAATTAAATTCGTTATATCAAATTTATCAATCAGGGCCTATAGAAAAATATATACATTCGATATAACGATTTGTCGAATTCGTTTTAACGAATTTAAATCGTTATGACAAGTTACAGAATTCCTTATAACGAATTCAACAAATTTGTTATAACAGATTAAATCCATTATAACAAATTCAAAGAAACTGTTATAACGAATTAAGGGGACGAAGGACACATGGTCACATGACTGTTTAACTACGTCATAGTCTCCGTTTATATAAGCGCAAAACGTGTAAAGCATCAGTTCTTGTATAATATTTTGACAATTCTTTAACTTTAATTACCATCTTATATAAAAAAAAATAAAAAAGTTTTAACATTCTTGTAAACATTAACAAATTATGAAAAAGATTGATCCACTCCTCTGTTTCCCTAAACTGCGCGTCCAACAAGTCGGTGACGTCATCATGATATGTTAGTACAGCAAGATCATACTCGGTGAACAGAGGGGCGGTATTATTATGTAAAAACAGGTCATAATCAGTATATGATGAAATATTTTGAGAAACGGGGAACACAAAAATTATTTTTGCATGGCTGATAACGGAAATCTACGGAAGCCCATTTAGGACCTATCAAAAATATTTTTTAATTCGATATAACGAATTGTCGAATTTGATATTACGAATTTAATTCGTTATAACAATTTCTTTGAATTCGTTATGACGAATTTAATCTGTTATAACAAATTTAGTGAATTCGTGATAACAAATTCAAAAATTTGTCATAACAAATTCTAAAACTTGTTATAACGAACTAAATTCGTTAAAACGAATTCCTTAATTTGTTATAGCAAATTAAATTCGTTAAAACGAATTCGACAAATCGTTATATCGAATTCATATTTATTATTTCATAGGCCCCGATTGTTGAATTTGATTAAACGAATTTAATTCGTTATAACAAATTTTAGAATTTGTTTAAACGAATTTAATTTGTTATAACAAATTATAGAATTCGTTTAAATGAATTAAATTCGTTATAACAAATTTTAGAATTCGTTATAACAAATTCAATAAAGAGCCATAGCGCATTTGATAGGCATTTTCGCCTACTCTACTAGTGATTTCTTAAATACATTTTTTAACCAAAATTTTGTCATACAGTCTTAGTTTATACATGCGTAAAACCAAATCACACAAAAATGATATTTAAATGTTAATAGTTCCCTCATATGATAAATTTGAAAATTATCCAGTTTGTATAGAATATATAGTAAATATTAAGGTATCCACCTAACGATGACAAACTGTTGCCAAAGACCACCCTTAACCAGAAAAACAACTTTTGAATAATTTTATTTGGATATGTCTGCACTTCATTCCCTTTAGATAATTTTGGTTAAAGGTGGTCTTCATATTGAAAATGATGGAAATATATATTAAATTTTTCTTCTCATATAATCGTAAGATTTAGTAATCTGTCTTAAATTTATCAACTTGACATCATTGACTTCGTTGGCGCAGCGGTATGATTGCTGGAATGTAAATATGGTGATTGCGAGTTCGAGCCCCACATTTTTCCATTTATGTTTTTTTGTATTTTTTTTTCATTTGTGTATCTTTTCTACGTTTTTCTTTATTATGTTTTATAACATACACAATTTCAGAAAGATATAATATACGCATTACACTTTGAAAGTATCTCGGGAAAAGACAGTCCTTGACTATTTTATTAAAGTTTGCAAATTCATAACAACTTGTTTTATTTTTAGATTTTCTGCGTAAATCTTTTGTCTCAGAATTAGAGTATTGAACAAGTAAAATGATTGTCATTTGATATACTTGCAACACTCGTCCTCAAATCATATTAGATAGTTTGCTCATGAATTGAAAAGGTACAGTATATCTATAAATAGAAACAGGTGATTTCCTTTTAAATTCTTGAGTCGGCCGTGTCGTCGGTAAGGCAGCTATGGCTCTTTGTTATAACAGATTAAATTCGTTATAACGAATTCAAAGAGATTGTTATAACGAATTAAATTCGTTATAACAAATTTGACAATTCGTTATATCGAATTCAAAAATATTTTTCGATAGGTCCTAAATGGGCTTCCGTAGAAATCTTATGTAGGTAACTATATCTTATTTCGCTTATTTAGCTTACGTGTGACGTCATAGTTGGTTTTCCCGTACTCGAGAAATGTAACATGACACATTTTTGTCATGCTTATGTCCTCTTTAACGATGTCCTGTGAAATAATGAGGTTAGCTTCATCATTCGAAACTTTTACACTTAATCAATAATTTGAAGGATTTGCATTTCAACGTAAATTAAAAAATATTGAATGATAGAATTTTTTGTAAATTACGTTTTTTATTGTTTAAGTTGTCTTAAAAAGTGCGTTATTTTCCCTGTCCAGATGCAGTGTGATAGACAAAACTTGCTTTTTCGAATTTTAAATCCTAGTTATACTCTGAAATATTTTAAAAGATACAAGTCCACTTTGATATTTTTTATGTATGCTTAAAAAATCCCATTATGGACAGAGTAATGCGCCCGGAAACATGGAGAATTAAAACTCTACTTAGATACTGTAAGGCATAGTATTTGTCAATCAAAATCTCCAAAATAAGGTAAGAAACCTAATGATTTAACTGCTTTAAGATATGTGGGACATACTTAATTAGAAATATACAAAATATGAAAAAAATTGAATGACAAGTATTTTTTCAGCTCAAGGTCCTTCTCCTTAAATTCGTTATAACAAATTCGACAATTCGTTATATCGAATTCAAAAATATTTCTTGATAGGTCCTAAATAGGCTTCCGTACCTTCAAGACTCCTGATTCTGTTTGTTTTTTCTGATGTTGGATGTCAAAAGCCAAGGCGGACGCTAAACATAAAAATAAACTTGGAATGGCCTTACTATTATATTTACATATCTTACCTGAACTCATGAAAACGATGCATGCAAGACGTAACTTTATTCAAAAATATATTGAATATCGGTAATTTTACGTCACAACTTCAATTGATCCGCCATGTTCACTGTCATATCGAATTTTTGTGAACAGCCAATGAGAATTCGAGAGTGGATCTTATATATAGAATTTTTTTTTATATATATATCTGCAAAGAATTTCTTTGTCGATGTCATAGTGACAACATACAGTAACATTTATCTAAAACCGTCATTTTGTGAAGCAAATTCCTAGAATAAATCTCTGGAAATCACGCGAGGCCTGTCATGGCTGTTGAAGAAGACGGCTTGTAAATATCCTGTCGTATTCTACCTTGTGTTAGTGTATAAAGGTCCCTGTGCTGTTGATAATGATTTTTTTTAAATATTTTATCAGAAGGAAGTCTAACTCAAAAAAGATTTATTTCGCACGAAGTCGCTAATAGTAAAATATTTTTGCACCAATACGAAGATCTTTTGGAATTGTAGCCCTCTCAGATAAGACTTAACGTCATCAGAAAACGTTAGATAAAAAAATGCAGAAGGCTAAATTACTGCAGGTACGTTAGATGAAGTAAAACTTTTCAAGACTTGCGAACTTATTCGGAGATAATCCCCCGCCTCAATACTTAATTTTTGTTATAGTTTTAAAGGCTTCTGTAATTGATTTTTTTCCCCGAGTTATTTAAAAATTGAAGGGGAGGAATGTACGTTAACTAGAACCTGACAGAGT